TTGTGGATAAATAGTTATTTCTTTCATTGTGCCTTCCAACTACATTTTGCTTTAGTAAAATAGTAAATATAATAGTAAAATTAATGAACTTACATATGAAAGTACAATGAATTGCAAGGAGAGGAGAATACATTTATATACTACTACACCAGGCATTTCAAATTCAGTTGTTGAAATACATAGTAGTTGATGTTTATTTATGACTCAAGGTATCTTTAATTTGAACATGGAGAAATTTTTGTGAGCACTTCAAATCTGATTAATAGATATGCCTAGTAGTCAATATAACGGGAATCTTGAAAGTACACTGTGTTTTTCATATAAGTGCCATTTTATGTCTTCATTTACTTCACGTTTTTTCCATGTACTGTTACCTACACTTATTTTGGCAATAAGTTCACATATTGCACTAAACCCTAATGAAGTTTGTTTAGTTTAGGTTTAATATGTTGCATAAACCTAATCATTGCAGTTTGTATGTGATGTGCATTTTTGACAGGCTTTGGAATTCAGTAACCAAAAAAGGTTACTGAACCCAGGAACTCATTTAGTTCTATGCAGTTTTTTCCCTTCCTTAAAATATGAAAACATTGCATTTTCAGCAAGTACAGATAAAGGTTAATTGTTAGAACAGATGAAAACTAGAATATAATCCTAAACAATTGATTTAATGGAGTAGCCTATTCTCTAAGGAGATTTTTGGTTATAACGAATATTTTCTTAGCCACTCCTTGTACTTGTTATACTATAGAGCTGTGGTGGCGAACCTATGGCACGCATGCCACAGGTGGCACGCAGAGCCCTCTCTGTGGGCACGCACGCTGTCGCCCCAGTCCTAGGCCTTCAGCTGGGTTTTATAAAACCTTTTCGCTTTAGGTCTCCACTACCGTGTGCAAAAAAAAAAAAAAGGTTCAATCAATCAATCAATTTCAACTTCTTGCGGGGAAAAAAAAGATCTTGCAAAGTTGGAATTGATTGATTAAACTTTTTAGTCCCACCCAGTCTGCCGTTACCACCGCAGCCACGCCCACCCAATGGGCCATGCCTACCCAGTACCCGACGATACATAAGTGGGTTTTGGGTTGCAGTCTGGGCACTCGGTCTCTAAAAGGTTCGCCATCACTGCATAGAGCATACTGTATACGTTTCAAGGTAGAAGCCTGAATGCCTTTGTTTTTGCTGATTCAGGGATAGAGAGGTCTTTGTCTAGCAAACTATTTAAATAATTTTCACACATAATTGCTTTTAGGTCTGCATTTTTCTTATTCATAACTTATGCCATCGTTTTTTTCTTTTAAATTATGCAACTCACATAATTACATGTTAGTTTCTATTTTCAATTATTCTTATGTTTATGTGTAATAAAATGAACTGATTTATTATAACCAGCTCTGACCTCAGCTGAAAACATTTCTCTTCCATTAAATCCATGGCTCAATGCATATAACATTTTTATGACTGACTGATTTTGATTATGATTAATTTGAGTTATAATTGGACAATGCAAAAGAGTAGTGAAAATATGCATATTATATATACCCCAGTCTCTGGTTTGTTTAAATTAATCTCTTTATCTTCTTCAAGATGACCTGTTCCCCCAAAAGTGCATTCCTAATTGAGTCCATTCACCTTGGTGCTAGTCATTGTATTTCTTCCATCTTTCTCAGCACTGTAGATTTCTTGAGAGAGCTGGATCTTCACATAATGTATTCAAAAATTAGTCTTTTTGAATCATTTGTGTCTCATGAGAATCTGGATTGATTTGTTTTATTATCCATTTGTTTGTTTTCTTTTCCAGTAGCAAAGTTCAAAAACCCAAGTATCATTTTATTCTTCCTCTAAATCCAATTTTCTCTTACATAGACCATCACAGGAAAACCATTGCTGAACAATTCTAGATATAGATGGATTTGAATACTATCCTACCGAATGCTATCTAAGTGCTAACTTGCAGCACATTTCTTAATTGCTGGCTTCATTATTGTCAATAATTGATCAAAGGCAAAATGTTATCCATCATTTCATTATTACTTTTGAGGATAGTTGCTGTACTTATTAGTTGGCTCTTGTTAATATTTGACAGTAGCCTTATTTTCCACTGTACCTCCAGACTTTTATTACTACAATTTGCAGATCATTTGATTTTCAGCTATTAGAGTAGTGTCAACAAAATGGCACAGGTTATTGAAGCTTCTTCCTCTTTTTAAAACCATTCTTTCAATGTCTCTCAATATATATTCATATATAGGTGAAACAAATAGGATGAGAGCATATAAACTCTTTTCAATCCTATGAGTTTAGAACCATCTGTTTCATTATGTTCGATCCATTGGCATTCTGTCCACTGTATAGGTTTTGTAAGAAACTTGTTCCTTCTGTTTTGTCTTTGCCAGTGTTTTTCACATTCATCCTTAACCAAATTCTTTGATTTCATTCCATAGTTCCTCTGTTTCTCCGTCAATGAGATTCAGGATTTCAAAACAATTGCTGATGTTGTCCTTGAAATTGATAGGTATATGCTGAAGATCATATTATGGAAACTGGTTGGCTTTCTTCTTCTGCTTTAGCTTTAGCTTCATTTGGAACTTGTATGTGAGAGACTTGTAATCCTCAGTCCACAATCAGACTCCAACTATGTCTAATCTTAATCCTTTTCTTTTGCAGGAGTAGCTTGAACATAAATTTGGATAAATCTTATTTTATTATTTTGTCACTGGCTGTGTTTTAGCTTTGCTATGTCTTCCTGACTATAACCATTTGTTCTTTCTTTTTCATGTCTTGAGTAGTAAACAGTGTGATCTGAAAGTGTCTAATTCTAGTCCATTTTAGTTAACTGGTGCCTAAAATGCCAATGTGTGGTAGATCAGGCTCATCTTTCTCCATTATGAATTTTCCCATGTGCTTCTTACATGTCATGTTCCCATTGTAATTCTGTGTTTGTAACTTCAGATTTTTTTTTCACATACTGTAGTAACTTGAGAAACTAGACATCCTAAAGTCTTTAATCTACCCACATCATAAAAACTGTTAGTATTTTAGAAGATTCTCAGCTCTCCCTTTGTGGCATGAGTGACATCCGATCTGAGCAGCCTATCATTTGGCACTGTATTGTCAGTCACTTTATTTTGTGTACCTATATGGTTTTCTAGGTAAAATACAAGAGTGATTTATGTTTGCCTTCTCCCATACATTACAAAATAATGTCTTTTGCTGTTGTTATTAAGGCAATCATCCACTTCCAGCATCTTTCTGTATTGCTGCACAATATAGGTGCCAATTAGCTTTAGTGGGACAAACCTCTTGTCTTGGGTGCTGCTGGAACACACTCTTGACTCTTCTGTCATCAGTTCCAGGAATACTCCCTGCCACCTCCATAATTAGATACTATAATAAGTCTTGGGGAAGAGGGAACCAGAAACTGCAATTGCAAAAATCTATTTGATCAAAAAACATAATTGCAACTAGTGGTCCATCTTCTAAGCTACCTTTGGGGTGGAAAGCATAGGAATAGATAATGTGTGAACTAACTTTACCTCTGTAGTAAATCAATTCATCCCTCTATTGTTTCAGAGAGAGGAAACGTGGTTTTGGAAGGAAAGGTATGTGTCAGCGAGGGAATAATTATCTTCCAATCATTTGTTGTTCGGTTTGTACCTACTCTTTGCTTCAGCCCCATTCATGAGACCATGAGGGAGTATAACTCTTGAGACAAAACAAGTTGTTTAGCTATCTGTACTCTATTCCAGGCCTTACTCCTGTATTGATTATTATTCTTATTTTACTTAAAGAAGGTTTTTACTATTTGTCCTTAGGATTGTTCAAAACAATGGGAAGAGGTCTTTCACAAAGCATCCTTTTTTTGAAACATTAAAGCAGCTGTATCTACCAGAGGTCTTGCACAGCTGTTTTAAAAGCTATTTCTGGTTATCTCTGTACATATTTCACACTTATCTGTTTTACTGGCAGTCACAGTAGAAATGTTGCCATTTGTTTTGTAAAGTATGTCTTTCAAATGTTTGCAGAGCTCTAGTTTTCCCACCGCTAGTATTGTCTGGTTCCTTGATCTGGTGGTTTTCTCTACATGTTGATTGTGAATGTCTAGGCTTAAAAATCAGTATGCACTCACAATATCATGCCTGGTCTTTATGATTTCATTTCCTGCATGTGCAGTCTGCTTGAAGTTAGGAAACAGGAGACTTGTGAGCAGGAGACTTGTGAGCAGTCCTCAAAATTCCAGTATCACAGGACTCCTATGGTCATGTGATTACTATCTGGGCATTTAGTAGCCAACTTGCATTTATGATGCCTGCAGTGGCCCAAGGTCACAGGATCACCTTTTGCAACCTTCCGTTTGGCTTCCACAAGCAAAGTAAATGGAAAAGCCAGCAAGAATTCAAGGGAGGGAGGGAGAAGGGAAGGGAATTTTCTGATGCTCCCTGCCAATTCCCCACAAGGAAATTCAATGGGGTAACCTGACAGGAAATCGGAAGTTATTCCCGTTCTCATTGCTTTTTATTATTATTATTATTACCTGTACTTATTTTGTTTTTTAGTTTAGGTAAAGAAATAACTTTGAAATGATAATCCAACAGCACATGGGTTATCTAGTTCAACCTAAAATGTCCTTGCATACAGCAAGCCCAGAATTCAGCAGCTATGTTATTTCAGGATTTTCCAGCATCTCTAGTTTGAAAACTGGTTTCCTGGTACAATTCAAGGTGCTAGTTGTCTCTTTCAAAGCCTTTCGTGATTCAGGATTTGGATAATTTCAGCACAACCTTGTCCCAATCATTCCTTCCTTTCTGATTATATAAAAGGGGCTCTCTTCCAGTATATTCAGGTCAAGGATTGCCAATTTCACAAGCATGCCCTCCCCATCCTCTCCACCCAACCAAGCACCTTTTCCAGCAAGCCTTAGAGCAGGGGTGTCAAACTGCCGGCCCGCAGGCCGGACGCATCATGAGGAAGCCGCACCCACCCCATTGCCGGCAATGGCAAAGCTCTCCTGATACATTGCGTGATGTCACGTGACGTCACAAGTTTGACATGTCTGCCTTAGAGGAAGAACTGTTGCAAACTGCCCCATTTTATAAATTGGGCATTAATTAAAATTATTTGATTTATCTCTGTTGCTGTTTTGCTGTTTATCCCTTTTTTGTATGATGTGTGTTATGTATATATTTTGAATTTCAGAATGTATTTATAAAAGAGGGAATCTAAGCATTTCAGGGTTGTATTTTTTGAAGAGGCATATAAGTTCAATAAATAATTTTGTAAATTTAGTTGATTGTTGAAGACTCTTTTGAGTTCCATCTACTTTTCCATATTCAGAAGGTAGCCTCAGGCTTTCTTGGAGTTTGCCTCCAAGCTGTAAATACAGCTCTTCTCATGCGTGCAAACAAACTCCCATTCCCTTATACTTTTTAATAGCTTTCTAACAGTTTTTGTAATTTAAATGATCTACTGTTAATTTGACAGTTGGATTATTAATTCTTTAGAATAGATCTGTGGTTCAATCATTTTATTTTGATTAACTTAAAAAAACTTCTATGCATCTTTGGCTCAATACAATAAAAGCATAGCAGACACAGACTATGAAAAACAGGGAATAGGTAAGTGTGAAATTATCAGCAGGAAGCCGTCTTACATTTTGTATTTAAAATTAACACTTGAGAAAATTGAACTTTCTTTGTGTTTTTGTTCAAGTAGCACAGACTTTGATATCTTCCTAAATTGAACAAGTTTATATATGTATAGAAGAAACACACACACACATACACAAAGAGAGAGAAACCATCCATAAGGATGAGAAGGAAATTATTATATCAAAGGCAGTGCTCTAACCAGCATTCACTCAATGGCACAACCAAGCAACTGGCACCGTGTATAGAAATATCTATTCAGAACATGTCTAGACCCTCCTAAGTCTAGATGGGAGATCCCACAGAACAGAGATCCCCAACCTGTGGGCTGCGGCCCACTACTGGAACGTGGCCTAATCACCACAGGGCCATGTGAGTGGCCAGATGCTGCACACACATTTGCATATGCAGCCCCACTCACACAAACCTTGTTGCGGGTGCTTGCAGCATCACTTGCATGAGTCTCGTTGAGGGCACTTGCAGCCCCACTCAAGCAAGCATTGCCACAAACATGTGCGCGCATGCACACACCTGCCCCTCTCACAAAATCATCCCTTCTTTCCCCCTCCTGCTCTGGTCTCTCTCTCTCTCTCTCTCTCTCTCTCTCTCTCTCTCTCTCTCTCTCTCTCTGTGTGTGTGTGTGTGTATGTATGTATGTATGTATGTATGTGTGTATATATATATATATATATATATATATACATACATACATACATACATACATACATACATACATACATACATACATATATATATATCCGAAATTACTTTAAAAATGTGATCCCCGGGTATATCCATGTTCAAAGTCAGTCAATAGATGTGAGCACCAGGGAATAAATAATTTAATAATAATAATTTAAAGATAAAAGTTCTTAAGAATATTAAAAACCTTTAAAATACATAGAAATCATGTGGGAAGGACAACTCCCAATAAGAACTTGGTGCCTGGAGTACATTCTAGTATAACCGGCCCAGTGACGAGATCGAAGAGTCGTGCACACACCCTAATTAAACCTATAAAGGGACTTTCCCATTGACCAGCATTATAAGCCCTGAAGATGTCAGCGGATGCCGACGAAAGCTAGGCACTTTTATTGATTTCTATGTATTTTAAAGGTTTTTAATATTCTTAAGAACTTTTATCTTTAAATTATTATTATTAAATTATTTATTCCCTGGTGCTCACGTCTATTGACTGACTTTGAACATATATATATATGTGTGTGTGTGTGTGTGTGTGTGTGTGTGTACCAGTGCCAAGCGATAGCAACCTTAAGAAGAAAGAGTGCAAAAATAAAATACAATAATAGCACTATTAGAACACTCATTCATCCCAGGGTAATTTACTAATATTTCTCTTAAGCTCTTCTGACTCCAGAGCACTATGAACAACCAGGTCTTTAATGATGTCTGAAATCTAGAAGGGGGAAGCTGCTCTCATTCCTAAATTCTATAGGAAAGAATCCCAAGAAAGAATGCTTATCTTCAAGCTCTCTCCAGCTGCATGAGGGTAAAAGGGGAGGGGGAGTCATGTGATGAAGAATGTTGGCATGCATTACCTAAATGTGATCATTTAAAAATGTCATTCTTTGAGAATGGGAGGGAGCTCTGCATATTTTGAAGGTTTGATGGACCTTGTAAATAGGAAGATGAACAGTTATTGGTTGAAAAGAAAAGTAGTAATAGATGTTGCAGCATAAAAATATATGAAGAAGGTGTTGAGGATAAGGAAAAGCATGGCTGGAAGTTCTGGAATGAGTGTAGTTTAGATTCTCTCACCCAAGGAGCTTGCCATAATTAAATGGATGAATTCACACTATGTTCTGGAAGAATTTTCAGAGGGCCTTACAGGGAAAGTGCTTGTAGGCAGTGAATGGTGGCAGAGTTTACCCTCTGTCCAGAGTGCTGAACTGTTACCCAGTATATTGAGAAGAGCTTTTTGAGTATTTTTGCCAAGATTATTAAATAATCCAAATGGTGAAACATAAGTAAGTTAAAAAAAATGTGACAAAATTGAGCAGAAGCACTTTGTTAAGAATTATATTGTTAGATTTTTATACTTTTTATACTATTTTAATAAAACTGCGGAAATAGAATGAAATAAAATTTGTTTTATCCAACAAAGATGCTCTGTTTATCCTATACTTTGCTTCTCTGATTTGGAATTTTTAATTACTTATGAGTTAATTGGATTAATTTATAGTGTTTTGCCAAGAAATTTGAACAAGAAAATGCACAATCTGTATAAATTGATTTACTAGATATCATGATTTATTTGCAGTTTGTAATTCCCTGAAATAAATGTCTACTTTACTTCTATTGATTTTGTTGCCCATAATCCCTTTGTAAGGCAGATGGGTGCTTCTTTAATATGATAAATAAATAAAAATAAATAAAATGTTTCTAATATAAAGTTTAGGTACTAAAAAAGACATGATGGTCATAATGAAGAATTGCTTTATGCTAATTTTGTGCATTTCTATTTCTGTCTTGCAGTTTTTGGTGAAGATCTACATGCCAGCTTATATTTTGTCAATGCATCTTTGCAAGAGGTAGTGTTTGCTAGCACCACGGGGACATTGGTACCCTGTCCAGCAGCAGGAATCCCTCCTGTGACGCTCAGATGGTACCTAGCAACGGGCGAGGAGATCTACGATGTCCCAGGGATCCGCCACGTCCACCCTAATGGCACTCTCCAAATTTTCCCTTTCCCTCCTTCAAGCTTTAATAACTTAATCCATGATAACATTTACTATTGCACAGCTGAAAATCCTTCAGGGAAAATCAGAAGTCAGGATGTTCACATTAAGGCCGGTAAGTTTCCTCAGATATTGTTGCTAAAAGTTTTCCAAAGTCCTGAACTATGGTATGACTTGAAATTAGTGACTTTCAGGTGTATTTGACTCTTATAACACCTAGATAGAATGGTTGGATGATTATGTAGGAGCTGAAGTCCAGCCCCAGAAAATTATAATAGACAACATTGTAGCCTAAAGAAAAGGATAAATTCTTGCCCAAAAGTATTTATGAAGATCACCTATATAGAAATTTGCGAATGGGGTCAAGAGTTGATCAACAATATTGTGGATTAAGTAGGAGAAGTTAGATGGGAGTTGAAGAACTGATTAAAGAAAACAGGATACTTTCAGGAAAAAATTATATGAGTTTTAAAGAAGGAATTGGAAGATAGAAAAGTACACAAATCAGAAACTGAAAAAATTAGAATAACACTGAGAGAGCACATGTAGTCAGAAATTCATTATTTAATATGAAGCAGAACTAGGAAGGTATTTTTGACCTTCCTTTAATGCATTGCCTAGCTGTTACTGTAGTTCTATCCTGTGTAGATATATGCAAAGAAACTAGTACACACGTACACATGTTTAGGCCGTGTGTACTAGTTACGTGGAGCTACAGTAGCATTAACAATAATGATGGGGATCTTAATAATAATTTTATTAAGGAATTATGTAGTTAAAGATAGTTCATATGTTATCTAAGGAATTAGCTATCATTGTTACTACTAAAGTATTTATATGCAAATTCTGAAAAGCTGAGGTACATGAATTAATTATTTAGTTTGGGTTCTGGTATATTTTGTTTGAACCAACTGTACCAGCTATACAATAGCAAGAAAGAAGTGAAGCAGCTATACAACTAATATTATCTATTTAAACTGTTTTTAAGGATTCAGAAGATTATATAATAATTACAGTGTTATCTACTACATGACATTCTTTAAATATTTTAAATTATTGAATAGGAAATTCATTTGATGGAATTTAAATCTGTTTAATAGGTAAGAGTACAGGAGAAAAAAACAAGCAATAAAAATACCTGAGTTAATCTGAATTTTCAGAAATTAAAGAATTGCAACTCTATGATACTTCATTACTTCAGAATATTATTAAAGACTGTATTACTGAATCAAGCAGATTAGTTGATATGCAGCAAATATGGAACCAATCAATTTTTATTGTCCTAAAGGATGGTTGCAGTCATTAGGAAGAAGCATAAAAATATAATAGATAAAGTAAAAAGCTAGAAAAAGTTACTAATATAAAAAGGTATAAAGATATAAAAATGAGAATATATGCTTATAAGAGCCATATAAAGTATAAAAAGTAATTATATGATTCATGGTAGGTATAAGATGAAAATCTAAAAAAATGTTCAGGAGATATGCAACATCATTTTTAGCACATGTATTCTATCCATTTGGATTCTAAAATGGTACAGTGTTATATATTTTCCTTCTGTTTGTAAATAGAATAATAAGTTACTTTTGTATTTTATTTCCGGATTTAAATATTATTTAATAATCAAATACGAAATTAAATAAAACTGGTTGGTTTTATGTGTGTTGAAAGAATTCAGAGTCCCAATATGCCAGTAATATGTTTATGCTGGGGTCTGTGGATGAGTTTCCATAATAATAATTATCACAGCTTCATTTTTGTTAACAGCTTTCTCTTTTGCTTTGTCTGTTTCTACTCACTAAAACAAATCTTTGGGGACATCTATGTTACAATCTGATACCCATTTAACAGCCTTGCTTTGGTAATAAAACATGGGTAGTCTATACTGTTTTATAAGGATTCAGATGTCAGATTTCGTTAATCTTCATCATTACCATGTGAGATTGGGGGGTATAATGTTTGAACAGAGTAGCATAATTTACTTGAACAAGTTGGAACTGTCTGTATGCGGGTGTCTGATCTTTCAAGGACAATAAGGCACTAAAGTGTTCAACATAGATTCAACAGGGTCATACAGTTTGCAGGAAACTGTTATGTTGCTTAATAAACAATGTGTTTTGCCTGATACCCTTGAGAGTTTGACCACCAATTCTCGATATCCATTTCAAAAATTCAGAATAGCACTATTCTCTTACTGTTTCTAAGCATTTAGTCAGGATTTTCCAGAACATCACAGAATTCTTCCCGTGAATTAAAAAATAAAAATAAATCTAAGTGTCATCAACTAGGTATCAAGTCCAATCCACAAATTCTAGAAGAAATTTCTGAATGGATTCATGAAGCCAAAAGCATAAAAAGGGATAAAATGAACCCCTGAATAACTATGTAAGGAAAAAAATGAATATTGTATTCGTTAATGGGATACATCATTTTTCAAAATTCTACTTTTATGATAAAGAACTGGCAAACATTTTTTTTAAAAACCACTATATTCAATTTCACTGTGGTTCCATCTTAATTCATATGTCAAATTTTCTTCACCTTGAATGTTTCTAATGCTGTAAGGTCCATTAGAAGAGAACTATAGTGGAATATGACTCCTTTGTTAGTTTTTGACTTGGGCAAAATTGCCTGGAAGACTTTGGAAAACTAAAGGATCTTAATTTGTTTCTTTTTCTGTTCAATTCATTTCAGGTGGACACAATGTGTGTTTTGTTTATGATTTTTTAAATCAGATTATTTATCTTCTTTACTCTTTATCTATTGTGTCACTCGGCTTTCTTCCCGTTCTCTGTTTTAGTTTTACGAGAACCATATACAGTCCGTGTGGAGGACCAGAAAGCCATGAGAGGCAATGTAGCGGTCTTCAAGTGCATTATCCCCTCCTCTGTGGAGGCCTACATCACTGTTGTCTCATGGGAGAAAGACACAGTCTCACTTGTCTCAGGTAGGAAGAGTCTTTTGCTTCAGCTTCTCTTCTTTCCTATATATATATTTCTTTTCAGTTGATTTTCTTTTCTATTGTAATTAATCATGTTATTAAAGCATCCATGTGTTCAGGTTTGGCATTCGATACTTGGTGAATTGGGTCATTTTGCATATTTGAAGTTAATTCCTGTGCATTCTTTAAAATATATAACAGGTGTGCTTCTACCACAGCATTTATTTTTCGCAAAAAGGGTTTTTGCTTTAAAAAACAATTGAAATACATTTTCCCCGTTTTGTGATTCCAACTTTTTTATCAGTTTTTTTTTTCCATTCTGTGATCAATGCCTAAATAGTTGTAGGTGAGATGGAAATAGTCAACTGTTTCTTAAATTTTGCTTTGTCATAGTGCAGATGTAACTATTAAATACATTTCTTTGTTTAGTTTCCTTGATGTATGACAAGTAGCTCTTTTCCCGGTATTTTCTAATGTGGGAAAGTATAGAAATGGCGTTTTGCTCATGATTAAAATAATGATGGAGTTCTTTCCAGCTCAGTTAGTGGAGGAACTACTTAACCTGTAGTGGAATTGCTAAATTTATAGTTAATGCAATTGATCTAAGAACCCATTATATAAAAAAATGGGGTATCCTGTAAAGGCAATGTATTTACCTGACTGCTGATTCTTTATATTTACTGCATTTGCATTTTATTACTGTATTTTCCTTTTACCTATTTTTTCCTAACTTATGTCCTGTATTTTATTTTGGTTTTATGTTTTTGATATGGTTGTAAGACTAATCAATCAATAAACTATCATTACTACCTATAGTCTTAAAATACACAAACATGCCCTATATCACAACAAGCAGTTCATATTCTTGTATAAGAACACGAATGACAAAAGTGAATTTAATAATGTTATTCCATGACAGAGTTTGGATGAAGCAGTTCACTGTGTCTTCCCTTGGTTTAAATTTTAAGTAGGTTTGGGATTTCAGTGTCACCCTCTTCTTTATAAGGCTGTGATTTTTGTTTCATATTTTTTAAAAATCAATATAAGAAAAAAAATTGGAATACTATTCCACATTTGATCACTTGCAATTGCTTTGATTTAAATAAGATTTGTGAGTGGAATTTTTACTATGACTGCATTAAGAAGTAACATGTGGAAATATTTGCATACATATTTCAAATAATTTCTTCTGCATAAGTCAGATGTTTTTATTCATAGTATGATCCCTGCCCTTGTGGTGACAAGATAAAAAACATTTCACTTGTAAATTCTACATGGATATTATGTCTCCTTATATTCTGCCCTAGCATATAAATTTCCAGGAAGAGCAGACAATTTTTATGTGAACCATCTTCTAGAAAATATTAAACCCTTTTATCAATTATGCAGTAGCTAGATTCTGTGTTGCTGTGTTGAAAATAACTGGTCACAGAAATAAACTTTTTATTTGTCATTTCAGGTTACTTACATGTTAACTATCTTATTTTAGGTAATACATATTTTTACATAATAGAGATATTTTAGATTTACAAATACACAGTTAATTAACAGTAATAGTAGCGTATGTTATTTTTTTATCATAGAGGGTGCTTGATATGTTCCTGTTTTATCTTATCCATTTGATTTTAGTTTTGTGTGGTATATTTTCAAATTTTCCTGATCTTTGACTGAATATTGCATTTCATATGAAGTGAGTTTAACTCCATCCCTGTTAATGTTCAGGAGGTCCCTTAAGCCCTGGTTATGTCATCTGAATTGGTATTCCCAGGGAACTGGGGATATTTTAAGGGGGCTCTGCTGTTACTGATGAACGTGATTATGTACTTCTCTATACCTATATGCAGTGCTTTTTTTGTAAAAAAAAAAAAAAAAAGAAAGAAAGGTGCTGGAACTCACACACGTCATACAACCCACCTTGCCTACCCTACAAGGTTTACCTTTGTAGTTGAAAACAAACCCCTTCAATTTTTAGTGTATCTAAAAGACTAGGATTTTGTTCAAGGCAACTCTGGAAAATCCGTTGAAAAAATGTGCTGGAACTCCGTTCCGGTGCGTTCTATGACAAAAAAAGCCCTGCCTATATGGTATTGCTGCTAAAATTTGTGGTTTCTATAGTTTCATTTTTTTAGTGATTGTTTAAAACTTAAATAATGGTTGTCCTTATTTTTATAATGATTGTTTTTAATATGTTTGTTTTATATTGTGGTTTTATTTGATTGTTGTATGCCAACAAGTCACTTCCGGTGAGATCGGTGGCTATATATAAATAATTATGTCATATTGTAAATAATATAATTGCTTTGCTTACTGAAACATGACACTTGATGGCAGAAAAATATACCATACTCTTGCTAAAATCTGCATCCAAAATGCATTAAATATTTCTAGTGATATAATAGAGCTTTTCAAAAAAGGTGTGCATTAAGAATTTGTATTTGTTACAATTGGTAACAGCCAGTGGTTTTGCATCTTATATAATCTGCTTGTCTTGTTTCTGTAATGCTAGTTTTTATTTTGAGGTGAATCTCATGGCCCAGGAGTTTAAGTATTAAATCCTACCCTAATGAAAGCTTCAATTTTTATATTTTTTCCCTGTTGTTCATTCATCCTGAATTATTTATGTGCTAATTTGGATGAAGTAGAAATACCAATTCTCCAAGGTTTCTCCCTTTTCGTTCTACACTCCTTGACACCAGAATCTAGAACTATATGCCTATCAGATATCTAGGATAGAAATAGTATGACTTCAGAACTCCAGGACTGAGCATGTTTTATGGTATCACATGGTAATTCAGACTCAATGTGGTTTGAATTAAGTACCCATGTTTGCCCGAAAATAAGACCGGGTCTTATTTATTTATTTTTTGCCTTCAAAAGAGGCACCAGGTCTTATTTTCGGGGAATGTCTTTTATACTCACCTCCGGCACCGACAGCCCCACTCAGCTGGTCCACTTCTTCTGTGGCTGAAGGAGCAGTGACATTCCGGCATGCATTTCACAGTCAGGCCTTTCTGGAAGGCCTCTGCAGCTGAGAACCGAGCTATGGATTCAATCCATAGCTCGGCTCTCGGCTGCAGTGGCCTTCCGGAAAGTCCTCTGACTGAGAAATGCAGGCCTGGCTGCACAAGACACTGCAGAAGAAGTAGGCCAGTGACGAGAGGCCTGGCTGCCAAGTAAGTGGGTGCGGGGTGCGTGGGGCAGCTCCATACCCCCACCTGTGCCCTAGCTTGATTTTAGGTGTGTGCCTCACCCCAAAACTAGGGCTTATTTTGGGGGTAGGGTTTATATTAGGCCCACTCCCCAAAATCAAGCTAGGGCTTATTTTTGGGATAGGCTTTAGTTTCGGGAAAATACATGAAATATACCAGATTCCCATCAAGGAAAATGTAGTTTTATGGTAGCCATGATATTATTGTATATCGGAAAGGTAGTCACACTATAAATGTACTGCCTGCCATGCAACAAGAAAAAAGGGCTAAATTCTGGCAGCAATCAATGCAATAAAAATTTGGCCATTTGCTAAGAATTATGAACACTAATTGAACCTGGAGTCTTAAGTTTCCTTTTGTTAATTAATCAGGCATTGATTGAACGTTGAACATTATTAACAGTTTTCTAGGAAGAGTCAAGAGCAGGTACACATATCTTTTTACTGCTGAGGGATGCACTTGACATTTGAGTTAAAATGCTAAGGGCTGCATTAAAAAAAATAGGAAATCCACCTGGGGACAAATTAAATTTGATGTATTTCATTTATGTTTACATTTAATTAAAATTAAATTTGGTTAGAATGATTATTCTCCAACTAGGTATTTAAAAATATACTTCATGTCAATATCATGAACTTTGGAAAATTATAGGATTGGTAGATATCATTTTGTTTCTTTTTTTTTAACCATTTTATATTGGCAGAAAAAAAATGCCTTGTATCTCAAATAATGTATTCTCTGTATACATTCCCTGTTTGATTAGCTGTTTTTTTTAAAATCCAGACTTAACTTCATGGTCTCTATTTTTATCTTTTTCAGATATAAAAATGGGAGTTTTGCTTGTAATGTAGCAGGAACATTTCCAGAAATGCTGAGCCCAGATAAATGTAATGCTTGATAATCTAATATCCTGTAACTTTCACAAATTAGAAAATTCCCATACTGTATTTATTCATTTGGTGGGGAAAACATGTAAAACAGATGCTTTTAAGTATTTTAAACTGTATAGCTACAAATCATGTTTGCAAATAAGCAGTGGTCATTCCACATATTATGTAAGGCATAGTCCGGTTGATATCCTAATGTGTTTCATAGATGAACTTCAGACAACTGGAGTTTTCTAATGAATATAACAAATCCATTTGTTTTATTTTCACTGACTATATTTAAAGATACCTATACATATACCACTATAAAATGAATAGAGCATTTCCTAGTAAGGAATACAGTTGACCAAATCAAATCATGGTACTCCAAAATAAAATTCCACATGAAGATATCTGAAAACAGCAACAGGTAACTAAAATAAAGAGACCAGCATTGCCTTTTATTGGAACATGGAAGAATCTAAATGAACTTAGAATTTCTTGTCCAAAATGCCTTTATGTGACTGCAAACAGATATAGATTTCAAGTATGATTGTGGGTTTCTAATCAAGCAACACCTTCAAACACAAATGGCTTTCTTGGGATGTAAGAGAAGTGCCATGTTAGATGGGAATAAAGGCGAGGCCAGTATCTTGTTTTCTGTTGTGTAAAATAGATGCCCTCAAGCAAAACTTTGGAAGCCATAACTTTACCTTAGTGTTGTTTCAAAGGTATGGTGTCATTAAAGCAGACCCTGTGACCATGGTTGAAGTTTCAGGAATCCAATCTTAAGTGCAATTCAATGAACAGCAAAGGGCAGCATTAAGTTACTAAATACATTTAGAAACTCAGTCTAAGAATGAAGACTTTATATCAAGACTGATAAAGAGCTTAGCATTTTTGGATTTTTTCCTCTCTTTGCAATCATGGC